GATTTGACTATGTTTCTTCAACCATTAATGTTTTGTATAGAAATTATTGAAAGAAACATCATGATTGAAGGAGTTGGTTCTTGTTTTTCCATGTCTGCCCAACTTGTCTATTTTGGTTGTGTAATTTGTTAATGTATGGAGATTTCTGATTGTTTTAGAGATGTGCAAGGAAATGCTTTGGAAAACTGGATTGATACTCTTTGATGATTCATAATTGGAAATAGAGTTTGACACGTGTGTGATAGAGGGAATGCTGGTAACATTCTTTTACCAATCTCTTTAAAGTTTCCATAATAAAAAGATTCATAATTACTAAAAGTATGTTATAGAAATGATATAGGACCTAAACGTAATTGACTAAAGCTGAGGGTGGGTTAAAGAAAGCAGAGATTTTGTTTGACTGGGACTGGCTAAAGTGAAAAAAGTGAAAATGTTTCACATTAAACCCACGGGGAGGAAATGAGAAGCACTTCCTTGTCGGATATTTGTGGGAACCAATCCATTAGCAAGTTGTATAATTATGAAGGGTACAGATACCCCCAAAGTCTATATCAGAAAATGACCTCAATTAAAGCAAGGTTTTATTCCACTCAAAGCAAATCTAACCCGACATTTTTTTTAACTTTTTTAAATTATATTTAGCAAATTAGGGAGAAAGTTAATTCCAATAGATGTGTTGTCATCATTTAAAATGGATTGAATCCACTTGGAAGATGTCAAAACTCAAAACGAAGGAATCTTGAATTTATATCAGATAATAGATGAGTCTTTCAGTGATCAACAAGTGCTTCACCGTCTTGTCTTATAGAAAAAAGAAAAAAGAATCAAGAATTGAATAAGTCTCCAGCGACTAATTGGTAATTACAATGCCAGAGGTTTGTGTTGTTTGTTTGCTAAGAAAGTAACTGAAATTTTCATGGCTGAACTGAACCCGAACAAACACTTGGCTGAATTAGTTGCCATGCATCAACATGCAGCCCTCCATCTTCGCAACTCTTACACCCGTTTATTCTTCTCAAAGCATCTCAACTTTACGTTATTTTTATTTTCCCTCCATATTTTGTCTATTTCTTTCATTCCCCACCATTCTTATTCATACAAAGTGCCTAATTCTATACCAAAGGAGATTTATGAAGCCTCAAGTATTGGGTCACCCACCAAAAATATAAAAGTTCATAGACACGCTCTTGCAAAAACTGCCAAGTGCATACAAATGTCAACTCTAAAGCCCATCACCACCGTCCAATCTCCCAGTGATCAAATCACAACCCTTGGAGTACACCTGATTAATACCAATCCCATAACCTCTCTATACTCTAAAGCACCATCAATCTGTTCACATCTCTTATAAAAACCATACTCTATCCCCTCACTCTTCTCAACTCCACCTCCCACCTCTCCTTTCCCTCGCCGGAAAACCACCTATCTCCGGGGCTTCACCGCCATTACCACCGCCACCAATCAAAAAAACCACCCGGAACCAGCAACGCCCTCAAAATCATCAAAATGGCTTCCATGTTAACATTTATAGCTCCACTCCAAAACTTTCTGTACAAAAAAGGAACATTAAGTCCGCACCTTTACTATCCAAACGCGTAAAGAACGTTAAAACAAATGGTGGGTTGTGTACACTGGCGTGCTCTACGTCGTCGTTTGTGGGGAGAGTCGGGTTGCAGCGAAGAGAAGGGAACGTTTCGAGCTTTCGTTTGGGATAAATCCTCAGCGGCAACACACGTGGGAATAAAAGTCGTCTCAGGTTTTGTCTGCAATGCTTCCCTTTGTTGTTGCGGCCACTGCTGTTGCTGCTCTCGCTCACTTCAATTTTACTTGGTGGGTTGTTTTTGTTTTTTTGTTATGTTTTACTCTAGCTCAATTTGGGGTTAAATAATATCAGGACGTGGTTGAGGTTTTTATTTTTATTTTTTATTTTAAAATATTATTTTTACTTGTCCGAGGTTATTCTTTTAGTATAAATGCTATTAAAATACTTATTTTTTTTAAGAGAATGCAAATATTTTAAATCCAAGTTGTGGCTCTTATTTGAAATTTGGGTAATGCGGTTGTGTCGTTTGGCTCTCAAAGCTAAATTTATTACTTTAGTAGAAATTAGTTATCTCTTCTGTGGGGAAGTGGATTTGGGAATTGGGATGAAGATAAAAAGTTACTTGCCAATTTACAGATGATGATGATCATTGAAGTTGCCTTTGAGAATCTGGCTGTTGTTTGTGTGATTTAAGACAAACTGTTTTTATTTTTATTTTTTGACTGATAAACATGGCATACCAATTAGTTGTTACATGAGCTGCTATAAACTGAATCTAAAACTTTTGCAGGGTGTCCAAGGAATTATATGCCCCTGTTTAGGTGGGTCATGTTGTCTATTGGATTAGACTTTCCATTGATTATTTGCTCTGCATTTAAAAGGTATATGATTTCTTTCTTGGTGTTTATAGGGTTCATTTTAGTATTAATTATTTGTCAGATTTTGAATCTGTCACAAGTATCTTTGTTTTTCTGATCTGATGCAGACTTACCATTGTCTGTGGGGTTAGTAGCGCAGTATGTGCTCAAACCGGTTCTTGGAGTGCTAATTGCATGGGCATTTGGAATGCCCAGATTTTCTATGCGGGTTTTGTTCTCAACTGTTGTGTTGCAGGGGCTCAGCTATCCAGCTATGCTAGCTTTTTGAGCAAAGGAGATGTGGCCTTAAGCATTCTCCTCACCAGCTGTACAACCATTGCTTCGGTTATATTTACCCCATTTTAACTGGCCTTCTTATTGGGTCTGTGTGCCTGTTGAGCCATTGCCATGTCAAAGTCAATATTGCAGGTGATGAGCGCTTTAAAAGATGGAAATATACGGTTAACAGGTCATTGAATTTTGATCTGCAAATTTCATATTGGGTCTTGGTGTCTCTTTGCAGGTTGTCTTAGTTCCAGTCACTTTGGCCTTGTGTCAATACTTCGAAAACCAGTTGTGACTTTTCTCGACCTGTGATGCCATTTGTTGCTATGATATGTACCTCACTGTGCATTGGCAGTCCTCTTGCAATCAATCGGAGTCAAATTCTACGACAGAGGGTCTGCAGTTGATTCTTCAGTCTTGGCATTCATTAGTGGCATTGCTGCAGGTTATTGGATCTCGAAAATTCCAGCTTTGAGGTAATTTTTTCTCTATTCAGTGTAATGTTTTAAATGATGGTGGAGAAATTTGAAGAAAATCAGTCCCGTTGCCATTGCCTTTTGTCAACTTTGTTTTTGCTAGTTGTTCCAGTCACTGATGTGCTACTTAAAGAACAAAGTGCCTTGATGACTGGTTGTTTAGAAAATTTAAGGTTAAATTATAGATTAAGTTTTTTTCTTCACTTTGTCGGACAAAATTAATACATTTTATATTTGTATTATTTTATTTTGAAAATTTAAGTTTAAATTATAGATTAAGATTTAGGAAGATAAAGTTTCTATTGGGACCACAAATTGTATCAATTTTTTTTTTTTTTTATTTGTGATGATATATTGAAGTTAAAGGAAGCAAGAATATATTTTTTAAAATTATTTTGGAGTTGGCCTTGGGATCATTAACATGTATGGGTCGATTTTGTGTTTTTTTTTTTTACAGAGAAGATGGGTTCTTGGGACCATATTGTTTTATCCATTTTTATATTTGTTATAAAAAAGTGTTTGATTCAAATAAGAGTTAACATTAATTGTTTTACAAGTGTTATGAAAAAGTAGATTTAATTATACAAGTGTTTGGTTATTTAAATAGATTTTTAACACATATCAATTCAATTTTAGCCAATGTATATAATATAGGATCCATTTCAATTCAATTTCTATTATTTTATAAAGTATAAATATATTAATTAATGAAAATTTTATAAATATAAAATTTATATTTATTTTAATTCAAACTTGTATTGATTTTTTTAATTTTGACAGCGTCATCCCTCCCCAACTTTAGGTGTAGGACATGATAAGCTTGAAAATGTATGCTAAACTTGTAGCCTAGCCTTGTGACAAAACACAACAGATGTTAATAAATGTAAAACTAAAATTATTAATGGAAATATAGTGAATGATTGCATATGAACATAATGAGCATAAAAATTGAACGAAAAAGAATGTGGACACTATTGTCGCAAAATTACAACAACTATTGCAATAAAACAAATCCTATTTTACTACAAATTTAATTAATTAAAATGAAGACAAAATCATAACAATAATCACGCCACCAACATTTCCCTTGCTTCACATGCCTTGTCCCTTCTACACAATTATTTTCAGGAGGAGATAAATTCCTTTTTAGTCCTTGTGGTTTCATTTTACTGCATTTTAATCCAGTCATTTCAAATATTATTTTTGTAGATCTAGCTTTCGTATGTATTATCTATAACACCTCATTCTTTCTGGATCCATCTATGCTATAGTATGGACTATAGAGATCTGATCACTACTTTCCCATCAAGCATCATAGTTTGGTCTGAAAATACGTTTTATTTATTTTTTATTTTTTAATTTCACTTTTTTGTGTTATTTTCCGGTATATGTGTGTCCTCAAATATAATAATTTAATAATAAAGATAAACGTAGAAAGTCTAGTTAAATTTTGACCCACGTGACAAAAACTCACGTAAAATTACCATAGCACCCATACCAATTCCACGTGCCCATCTGCATTCAGATCTGCCCACTGGAACGAAGTTGTGGCAAACACATCTGACCCAAACCCAGCAAGAAAGCGGACCCCACAGTCTCCACCAATAATTGATAATTCGCCTAATCCTCTCTGTACTCAAGCTGGCACCACTGTCTCCTTCTTCTTCCCTAAATCCTTAAACCCTAACAGACATTCACAAATTTTTCATTTCAATTCATTTCTTATTCTTCATTCTTTTGTTTCAATAACCAACTTTTTTATTTTTTTTCAATTACTCCCTTCCCCGCCCCCAAGTTATGTTTCTCCCCCTTCTCCTACTGTCCTTTCTTACTCTCTCAATGGCCACTGCCACTGCCGCCGACGACGAATCAATCTACCAGATCCTCAAGGCCCACGAGCTCCCCATGGGCCTGCTCCCCAAAGGGATCAGCCAATTCAGCTTCGACAGTAGGGGGCGTTTCGAGGTCTTCTTGGATCAAGCGTGCAATGCCAAATTCGAAAGCGAATTGCACTATGATAGGAACGTTTCCGGCACTTTAAGCTACGGTCAGATCGGGTCGTTGTCGGGTATTTCCGCCCAGGAGTTGTTCTTGTGGTTCCCCGTTAAGGGGATTCGGGTCGATATCCCGAGTTCGGGTCTTATTTATTTTGACGTTGGTGTTGTTTTTAAGCAGTTCTCGTTGTCTTTGTTTGAAACGCCCAGAGATTGTATGGCTGTGCGGTCGGATAATGATGGTTTTGTTCGGGATGGGAAGCTTATTGCTCAAGCTCTGTTAAAGGTTTAAATTTGTTTAGTTTGTTTGTTTGAATATTTTTGAAAACAAAAACCAATAACGAAATGTCACCAGAAGGTGCCCTTAATATCTAAAGTATTAAACTTTTGGTCTGCAGCTTGATCAAGAAACTGTTGCAAGGGATGTTATTTAGATGATGGTGGAGAGAGTGATTGACATTTTGCACAGTAGCTCAATCAGCTAGCCATGGGTTCTCCGTTTCCCATTGTAAAAAAGAAAGCGGTTAGAGGCTGCTTTAGCAGATTCTATGCTTCAATTTTGTGTGGTTGCTTGCATTTTCTTATCCATAGATCCGAAGTTGCAGACTAGTTAAGCCAGCTCTTGTCTATGCGAGGAGGCCAGTGAATTTGAGAGAGAAAATTGAAATGAGGCTTATTCTTTGGATGATTAAGAGAGGCAGAACATAATTCAGTTGAAGTGATTTCAGGTGATAACTCTGCAAGATATAATTTTTTTCTTTTCAATTTTGTATGTTGAATTTATTGTATTATCAATACAAGGATGGATGGTATATTGAGTCTCTTTTTCTAGTATAAGTTTTAGGTCGAACGAGAGACACAAACTTATATGAATTGTGATATAAGAATTCAAATAATAAAGCTTTATTGCTTAATTTAACATATATGCTTCTTATCTCAAGTTTTCTAGTGCTTTCTTGTTTAACCCACTAACATGTTTTTGTGTTTCAATTCTATATTGCAATGGATATTATCTAATGGGTTAATTAGAGGTGATGGAGGAATGGGAGCACGAGAAATTCATTGTTCAATTTGCAATTATTTTGTTCTTTCTCAAAGGGACTTATATTTATATTGTTATGCTCAGGTGTAAACCTTGACGGATTCTGTTTCCATTTTCAGAGAGTTTGAGCCAATGGTTTGTATAGTGATGGTTATAAGAGTAGAGTTCCCTAACGAATTTTTTATCTAGCTGTCCTTTCTCAAACACAAAATTTTATTTTTGAAGGGTGGGGGATGTTGGGTGTGGGGTGTTAATTAGGCAAAATTGCTGAACTTTTGATTATCCATTCAACTGGTTAGTAATCAAGATGCTTGCTTGTTAGATTTGTGATGTAGCAGTCAGATGCATTATGGTTTTTGTTGGTGTAGTACCATCCTACATTATGCAGCTTATTAAGATTTTTTTCCATTCTAAACTTTCTTTTTGTTTTGCCCCTTTTTGACTTTCATTAGCTTATCCATTTCTTTAACAAAAAATTTATGTTTTATGTATTGATCAATGCAAATTAAGGGTATGTGGTATGTACTTGTGTAAAAATGTTCGAATTTCTGAGTTTTAGAGCTAAACTAGATGTTCTTAGATGTGAGACTCCATCCTGAGACCTTGATTGGATTGGTCCGAGGCTGTGAGCGGATGTTTGGATAGGTTGTGATTCTTGTGCTGATAACCAAAATCTGTATGAGCTTTTGTTATCATATTGAACCCCTTACTAAGCTTAATCTTTGTCTTTTTATTTTCTTATCTTTAAATTTTGTTAAGTCTAGAAAGTTACTGGTATTTCAGTTGTATTTGTTATGATTTTCTTTCCTCCTTTGACATGGTTACTAATTTTGTGAAGTGAACAATGAAATATGCAATCTTGATAGGGAAGATTTGACTGTGTTTCTTCAACCATTAATGTTTTGTATAGAATAATTATTGAAAGAAAACATCATGATTGAAGGAGTTGGTTCTTGTTTTTCCATGTCTGCCCAACTTGTCTATTTTGGTTGTGTAATTTGTTAATGGTATGGAGATTTCTGATTGTTTTAGAGATGTGCAAGGAAAATGCTTTGGAAAACTGGATTGATTACTCTTTGAGTGATTCATAATTGGATATAGAGTTTGACAGTGTGTGATAGAGGGAATGCTGGTAACATTCTTTTTTACCAATCTCTTTAAAGTTTTCCATAATAAAAAGATTCATAATTACTAAAAGTATGCTTATAGAAATGATATAGGACCTAAACGTAATTGACTAAAAGCTGAGGGTGGGTTAAAGAAAGCAGAGATTTTGTTTGACTGGGACTGGCTAAAGTGAAAAAAGTGAAAATGTTTCACATTAAACCCACGGGGAGAGAAATGAGAAGCACCTATCCTTGTCGGATATTTGTGGGAACCAATCCATTAAGCAAGTTGTATAATTATGAAGTGATACAGATACCCCCCAAAGTCTATATCAGAAAATGACCTCAATTAAAGCAAGGTTTTTATTCCACTCAAAGCAAATCTTAACCAGACATTTTTTTTTTAACTTTTTTAAATTATATTTAGCAAAATTAGGGAGATAAGTTAATTCCAATAGTATGTGTTGTCATCCATTTAAAATGGATTGAATCCACTTGGAAGATGTCAAAACTCAAAACAGAAGGAATCTTGAATTTATATCAGATAATAGATGAGTCTTTCAGTGATCAACAAGTGCTTCACCGTCTTGTCTTATAGAAAAAAGAAAAAAGAATCAAGAATTGAATAAGTCTCTAAACAATGCACTAATGCCAGGGACCAATTGGTAATTACAATGCCAGAGGTTTGTGTTGTTTGTTTGCTAAGAAAGTAACTGAATTTTCATGGCTGAACTGAACCCGAACAAACACTTGGCTGAATTAGTTACCATGCATCAACATGCAGCCCTCCATCTTCTGCAACTCTTTACACCCCATTTTATTCTTCCCCAAAGCTTCTCAACTTTACGTTTATTTTTATTTTTCCTCCATAGTTTGTCTATTTCTTTCATTCCCCATCCATTCTTATTCATACAAAGTGCCTAATTCTATACCAAAGGAGATTTATGAAAGCCTCAAGTATTTGGGTCACCCACCAAAAATATAAAAGTTCATAGACACGCTCTTGCAAAAACTGCCAAGTGCATACAAATGTCAACTCTAAAGCCCATCACCACCGTCCAATCTCCCAGTGATCAAATCACAACCCTTGGAGTACACCTGATTAATACCAAATCCCCATCAACTTCTCTTATACTCTAAAGCACCATAACATCTGTTCACGTCTCCTATAAAAACCATACTCTATCCCCTCATCTCTTCTCAACTTCCACCTCCCACCTCTCCTTTCCCTCGCCGGAAAACCACCTATCTCCGGCGGCTTCACCGCCATTACCACCGCCACCAATAAAAAAAACCAACCCCGGAACCAGCAACGCCCTCAAAATCATCAAAATGGCTTCCATGTTAACATTTATAGCTCCACCTCCAAAACTTTCTGTACAAAAAAGGAACATTAAGTCCGCACCTTTACTATCCAAACGCGTAAAGAACGTTAAAACAAATGGTGGGTTGTGTACACTGGCGTGCTCTACGTCGTCGTTTGTGGGGAGAGTCGGGTTGCAGCGAAGAGAAGGGAACGTTTCGATGCTTTCGTTTGGGATAAATCCTCAGTCGGCAACACACGTGGCGAATAACGATTCGTCTCAGGTTTTGTCTGCAATGCTTCCCTTTGTTGTTGCTGCCACTGCTGTTGCTGCTCTCGCTCAACCTTCAACTTTTACTTGGTGGGTTGTTTTTTGTTTTTTTTGTTTATGTTTTACTCTATGCTCAATTTTGGGTTTAAATAATATCAGGACTCGGGTTTGAGGTTTTTATTTTTTATTTTTTTATTTTAAATATTATTATTTTTACTTGTCCGAGGTTATTCTTTTAGTATTAAATGCTATTAAAATACTTAATTTTTTTTAAGAGAATGCAAATATTTTTAAATCCAAGTTGTGGCTCTTATTTGACATTTTGGGTAATGCGGTTGTGTCGTTTGGCTCTCAAAGCTAAATTTTATTACTTTAGTAGAAATTAGTTAATCTCTTCTGTGGAGGGAAGTGGATTTGGGAATTGGGATTGAAGATAAAAAGTTACTTGTCAATTTACAGATGATGATGATCATTGAAGTTGCCTTTGAGAATCTGGCTGTTGTTTGTGTTTGATTTAAGACAAACTGTTTTTATTTTTATTTTTTGACTGATAATAACATGGCATACCAATTAGTTGTTTACATGAGCATGCTATAAACTCTGAATCTAAAACTTTTGCAGGGTGTCCAAGGAATTATATGCCCCTGCTTTAGGTGGGATCATGTTGTCTATTGGAATTAGACTTTCCATTGATGATTTTGCTCTTGCATTTAAAAGGTATATGATTTTCTTTCTTGGTGTTGTATAGGGTTCATTTTTTAGTATTAATTATTTGTCAGATTTTGAATCTGTTCACAAGTATCTTTGTTTTTTGATTTGATGCAGACCTTTACCATTGTCTGTTGGGTTAGTAGCGCAGTATGTGCTCAAACCGGTTCTTGGAGTGCTAATTGCATGGGCATTTGGAATGCCCCAGATTTTCTATGCGGGTTTTGTTCTCACCTGTTGTGTTGCAGGGGCTCAGCTATCCAGCTATGCTAGCTTTTTGAGCAAAGGAGATGTGGCCTTAAGCATTCTCCTCACCAGCTGTACAACCATTGCTTCGGTTATATTTACCCCTATTTTAACTGGCCTTCTTATTGGGTCTGTTGTGCCTGTTGATGCCATTGCCATGTCAAAGTCAATATTGCAGGTGATGAGTGCTTTAAAAGATGGAAATATACGGTTAATCAGGTTCATTGAATTTTGTTCTGCAAATTTCATATTTGTTGTCTTTGGTGTCTCTTTGCAGGTTGTCTTAGTTCCAGTCACTCTTGGCCTTGTGCTCAATACTTACGCAAAACCAGTTGTGACTTTTCTTCGACCTGTGATGCCATTTGTTGCTATGATATGTACCTCACTGTGCATTGGCAGTCCTCTTGCAATCAATCGGAGTCAAATTCTATCGATAGAGGGTCTGCAGTTGATTCTTCCAGTCTTGGCATTTCATGCAGTGGCATTTGCTGCAGGTTATTGGATCTCAAAAATTCCAGCTTTGAGGTAATTTTTTTCTCTATTCAGTGTAATGTTTTAACTTGATGGTGGAGAAATGAAGAAAATCTGTCCCCCGTTGCCATTGCCTTTTGTCAACTTTGTTTTGCTGCTAGTTGTTTCCAGTCACTGATGTGTTTTTTTAGATCCATACGCCAGTAAAGTCTGGTGATAGCTCTTTCAGACTAATGCTTGTAAGTGGACTTAGTCTGGAGCCTGATATATCCATTAGTAATCTTGGGATTATGTTCAGTGGTCATAGAAATGTTAAAGACTTGAGAGCTCTACTAAGATAGTAGATTTTGGACATGGCTTTGACCTTTGCTATATTTTGCTCCTAGGTAGGGGAGATTTGATTTGATGCCATTCTATCGTGCTGAAACAAATACAAGCATATTTGGAAATGATTATAACGCAATCTGCTAATTTTACACCATTGTTTGGGAACATTCAGAATATTAAGAAAGTTTTACTTAACTTCCCTTCTTTTTTCTGTCTGTTTATTAGAATTTGACAGGTGTTAAGGGCATGGTTATCTGAAGCATTAACATTTGGAAACTATAAACTTTGATCTGAGTTCTCTGATTTTATGACAATAGTGCATCGATTATACTCTTTCTGTATTAATCATATTCTAACCTTATTTCATCAGATTTCTGCTTTTACAATCACCATCCAAATCATTGTACAATATTTATTCTTCGGTAATTGTTCCTTCTGGCAATTTCTTTCTTTTGAAGTCTTCTCTTCTGCTTTCCCTATTTGCATTGTGTATGTAAAATGATTTTGACTTGATACTATGTCATTTAATTAGGCAAATTTTTTATAATTCTGGTCTTGTAATTTAGGTAACACCAAACACTGATTAAATTGTTCGTTTAAACTCCCAAGCTTAATTCTCACTCCTACCTTATCTAAATCCTATCTTGTATTTGATGTCTTTTATGATTCTTGCTGTTCTTATTATTTGTCAATTACTTCCCTCTGTTGGAAGTGAATCAAAAGGTGGTCAGTTCAAGTGGTCAAATTCAAGGATAATTTGAATTGTTACCTAAGGAAAGAACGTGTAATATTCAATAGAGAACTGAGACCCCATTAGAACAATTTAAGGATAGAAAATGATATACTGATAAAGAAGTTAATTTTAAGTTACAACTTGTAAGCAAATGTTTGGTAAATTTTGGCCTCTAGCTGTTTCTTCTTTCAAATTGAGTTATCGGCTAAAAGGGGTTTATTTTTTATTTTATTTTATTTTATTTTTTCTCAATTACAGGCAGGAGGAAGAAGTTAGCAGGACAATCTCGTTATGCACCGGAATGCAAAGCTCCACCTTAGCAGGGCTTCTCGCAACCCAGTTCCTTGGGAGCAGTCAAGCAGTTCCACCAGCATGCTCAGTAGTCGCTATGGCTATAATGGGTCTATGCCTTGCTTCTTTCTGGGGAAACGGCTCTCGAATACGTGATCTACCATACTTGCTTGCACCGCATTCTGGATCTTCCACAAATGCTTAATGAACTGATACCAGATGCAGAGATGGTGAAATACTGACATGCACTTGATCTTCTCAACTTTCTTAGTTTTAAGTTACTACTTGTATTGGGGTGTTAATACCATCAGAAAGTGGATACAGCATAGTAAAATAGTATACAGAGAAAATAGGGGCAAGTATAGATAACGGGAAAAGTGACTGCCTAGAGATGTAAAGTTAGGAGAGTTATTTACTTCAACTTGCTAGAGCTATGTACATCCAATGTATCTAATTTTAGTCGGTGTATAAAAATGGATGTACTTGTGTATGTTATGTTTGGGTATACCTGGCTACTTGTTAACTTCTTTTCCTTGGAGAAGAAGAGCAATGACGGTATCTGAGAACATCGGCCAGCAGCCGTGGTAATATAGAGGATCACTGTTTTAAAACCCGGATCGGACCTTCCGGTTCGATCGGGATCTGACCTTAAATCCGATCCGAGTTGATATAAAACCCGCTAATGAATCGGATAAATAGTATAAACCGAACGGTCTAACCGGCCCACCTGGTAAGCTAGCTCACTATTTAAAAATAAGAAAATCCCTAAATTGATTCTGTTTCTACACAAACTGAACCCTGCCTCTCTGGAATCGCAAAACCACTTCTCAATCTCAACTCCACTCTGAAATCGGAAAACCACTTCTCAATCTTAACTTCACTCTCTGAAATTGACAACGACGACACCTCCCTTGCTCGCAATCATCAATGACGACGCCTCCCTCGCTTAATCTTTGTAAAGGTATTTCCACTGTCTCTAAAACTTTTTCATGTTTGTTGTCCATGCTTAATCGAATCGAAATCAACCCCATCTGCTTCATCTTCTTCTTCCCGATTACAATATGCATGTTTTTAGTGGTTTCTTCTTTATATTCGGTTTCGTTCCCTCCACAGTTGTCTCAGGGCTTCTGTTTTCTCAACTAGGTATTCGCTCGTTTTGGACCTAGATGCCTCATATCCCATAATTTGTAATTGCAATCTTTGAAGGTGGAGACTTGGAGAATGGAGATACGATATTTATATGAAAATTATGACAGTGGTTATTGATGATTATACTTGTTATTATTGATGAAAAAGAAAATTAATAAAGATGTAGCATGTTTGTACTGGATAAGCACATGTAATTTAATTATTTATTTTCGATTCCAATTTCCTTTTGTTTTTTTTTATTTGTATACTAATTTTTTTTTCCCTGGTTTTGGGCTCTGCCATATAGTACTGGACAAATACAAAGGGGAATTAAAAAATGTTGTGGTCTGTTCTGAATTAGTCAACAGCACAGCAATCCTCTGATCCTTAGTTTGACATCTTAAAGTAACCTTTGAAGGTGGCCGCTGTATTCCCAGCAATCTTTTAGTGTATTTTTAACTTGTTCATGGGTTTTCCTTTTAATATGTGACTATCTTTTTAAATTTTGCCATTTAATTTGTAATCGAATGAGCAGAACATCATGTTGGGAACTTCGGATTGTTATTGAATCGTGTTGGGATGGTAAGTAAATTGTTATTAAAAATTTGAATACAGCTGAATTTATAAAAATTTAAAAATCTGGATTTTTTTTTTCATTGCTGATGTCATTATGCTCAGTATGATGACGTCATTAGTTCAACTGGTTGGATCGGTCGACCCGGGATCCGGGCAGCAAAACAGATTGTCTAACGGGTCGGGTTTTAAAACAGTGTAAAGGATACAAGCGTGTGGAAAATTGAAATCTTATCCTCCATATGAACCTTTGGATTATGGTTGAAAAGTTGAGTATTGGATCATCAAACTCTTAAGTTATGGGGATGCATTATCGTTGATGGGGTTTAACATTGATACTTATGTTTACATACTATAGTTGAGAGTCATTAAATTTATTCTCCTCAAAGATCCACAGGAAACCAGTAGCCTGTATTAACTGCAAACAATATGGTTATGGAGCTCACAAAGTTTGGGATATTGAATATTGAATTAGGAAGGCTTAATTGAAATTGGGTTCATGATGGTTTCGGACCTACATTATCTCTTAACCTAAAGTATGAATAATGTTGTTACATGCAATATCCTACAAAGATTAATTTATAATTTTTAGAAGGTGATGTTGGAACAAATCAAATTAAGTGATGTGATGGCATTGTTTTATAGCTTGAATTGTTTAAAAAATCAAATCTTAATGGGAAAGTTTTAATAAATCAGATTAAAAATAAATAGGAAGTTGGATAGGTATTTTTAATTAATTAAAGAAAGAGTTTAGACATAACCAAGAATGGACCACTAAAGAAGCAAAGGAGCGAAATTTAGGGTCAGAAAACTAATATTTGGGATTAATGGAGTGTAAAAAAAGGACTTTCAAGTACTTTCAGGGTATTTTAGTTATTAAGTAGGGGTACAGAGAGATATTTAAAAAAATAAATAATATTACGTTTACATATTTTTATACAAAATAAGGTGACAAAAGATAATTAGATGATTTCAAATTAAATATAAACTTTCATCCAATCATCTTTTGTCACTTCAGTTTATATAAGAAAGTTTGTAAGTATATAGTATTATTCGAGTGTATGAAAAAAGTTTGTACAAATATTACTCTTTATAAAATGAGTGATGTTATTGCCCTCCTTATTTATCTTTTAATAATATTATACTTACAAAGATTTCCATACAAAATGAGATGGCAAAAAATAAATAAGAGAGGGAAACAAAAAGTTATACTCATTATATTCACTTTTCCGTTCATTTTTTGTCATATCGTATTGTATGAAGATTTTTGTAAGTGTAACATTACTTTTTATCTTTATATTCCTCATTTCTAAGTTCACCCCTTTAAATATTTTAAAATATGTCTAAATGTCTAAATAAACTCCTACATTTATATTTTCACTATTCATGTTATATTTTCTCAATCCATATTTTATATATACTCTTTTTCTTCATTTAACATATACAGTAAAACCTCTCTATAGTGATACTTTATATAGGAATAAATTCTATATAGTCATAAAAAAATTTATTCCCAATTTGAGATAGTTATAAATAAAAATAAACTCCACATTATAATAAATTATAATTTTTCTAACTCCCGTCTTAAGGAAAGTTGCTTCCACATAGTAATAATTATCTGTATATTGGAAAGAAAATATATGGTATGTTACATTAAAGGTTTAAGATGAAATAAAATATTTATCTAAAGTTGTTTGGGACAATAATTTATGCTTTAGAGTTGTTATTACATTTTTTAACTTGCGGGTACATTATTCTTTAGCATGAATATTATCTTATCAAAGCCAAAACATTTCTAGCTTATCAAGCATGTTTAGAGCTTCTTGACATGAAACTTTTTGTATTTCTATACTATCATCCTTATAATTATTTCTTTTCTCTTCTTGTACAATTGTATAAATGATTTCTTCTTTTGTTAAAGCATACATGACTTGTTACTCATTTGGATGATTAAAGAATACATTAATATTCATTCGATTAGTGTAGTGAAGTTTTCGAATCTGATCACTCAATTCTACAATGACTCTTTGATTTTCCTCATCCACTTCATTTGTAACTTGCAATTCATCGACGTCGGGGGTCCTAATTTTGTAATGCTTAAAACAATTGGTAATTGTCTGTGGCTTCACATCAGTTGTCATGCAATAACTGTATTTACAATTCCATCAAAAACAATTATCTTTGTTGATTTCAAAACATGATCTTTTATCCGTTCAAAAGTAGGCAATTGAATCGCTGAATTAAAATCTTAATATTATTAAAACATGAATTGAAATCCTAATATTTACTACTAAAACCTGAATTATGAAATAAGAAATTTTTTTAACATCTCTATTAAGTTATAATCTCTTCATAGTAATAAAATCAGTTAGTCCCACCATTATAACTATAGAGAGGTTTTACTGTATATCAATCAAACATATAATATGTTGGGCACATTGTTAAGCTTTAATTATGAATTCATATGACATCTATTATTTTTATTTTTTTTAAAGAACAAGACTAACAAACTTATAAATTCTGGAAAATTGCAAATTAAATTGAAAGTTAGAAACAATTAAAAAAAAGGACAATAATAAACCCAAAGAATTTAATACATATATGCTATGAATCAAACTTGTTTCATAATGATTTAGATTTATGATATAGAAAATATAATAAAAATCTATATTTTGTGGGGGTCAAATCATTAATTTATCATTATTCAAATGTTAAATTCTCAAACCATTAAGGTCGAACTAAAAGGCAATGACCTTAGGAACATGCTAATGGGTAAATTCTGGCTGTTTATTTGTAAGACACTTTTCAAAATCTATATGTATACATGTATAAATAGCTAGCTCTGCTATTTAATTATTCTTTGAAAGCATTATTCTTTGAAAGCAATATACTAGAATGAGTTTTTTTTCCCTCTTCTATATCTTTCTAAGTTCTTACTTTTCTTGAGTGTTTCTGTAATTTTCAAGCTTACTTAGAGCCAACCTTTTTGAGTTGTACTTTAAGGCCACACAATTTTGCTAAAGCCATGAGAGTTGGTATCACTACAAAGGTTCTTGTGCAGATCTCTAGAAGGAGAAAGAATGTTGGGTGAAAACAACGTGGTGATGAAACTAGGGCATAAAATATGTCTCTAAGCCAAGGAAGAAGTCCTATGGCCACCAAAATCTTGTGACGTGATAATGGCTATGGAGACCAAGGTGGAATTAACCATGGCAAAAACCTATTAAAGGCTATACTAGTTGGAGCAATATGTGGAGGAACTCAATAGTGAGAAGGAATGTCAATTGGAGGAGTTTCGTTAATCCCCGTTAAATGCTATAGATTTTGCCGCTTAAGCACAACTTCATGAGAACAAGGCTTTCTAAGTAAAGGTGATGGAAGCATTTGCCAGGTATCAAACCTAAGTTGAGGAGATGAAGTTGGGCTTGGAAGATATTAGGGCGATCTGGGTTGTTTGCAAGAAAGTAATGGCAGTTTAGCCATTTACGACGTCTACACTTGCAGCTCCACAAAGTGAAACCCCGAAAACTAAAGAGTTCATTGGGAAAAGGGAAGCAAATGAGCTAGACAACTTTATTTGGCACTTGGAGCAGAGGCGCAGCCAAAAACTCAGGCGCAAGGAAGCTGATTGGCGGGATCCCTCACGGGTTGCACCGCCGACCGACCTTGATCTTCTGTGAAGGGTTCGAATGTGAGCATGCTTTTCGGAACCTGAAAGATGGTGAACTATGCTTGAGCGGGGCGAAGCCAGAGGAAACTCTGGTGGAGGCCCGCAGCGATACTGACGTGCAAATTGTTTGTCTGACTTGGGTATAGGGGCGAAAGACTAATCGAACCGTCTAGTAGCTGGTTCCCTCCGAAGTTTCTCTCAGGATAGCTGGAGCCCGCGGGCGAGTTCTATCGGGTAAAGCCAATGATTATTAGAGGCATCGAGGCACAATGCCCTTGACATATCATCAAACTTTAAATAGGTAGGACGGCGTGACTGCTTCGTT